GAGAAATACACTTTTCTACTACAGGTACATATGACAGTGAACGCTTTGAGTCTTGAATCTATTTAACAATTTTTTGAGGTCTCATTCATAATTACTACAAGAAGGTCACATCTTTTTGGGACAAATGTCAGTCCTGATCTTCTGAATCCAAACATTGAGAACCAGGGCATACTTAGAAATTCTGAGCCCTCTGACAAAATATCACATTGGGCCCCCCATTCAATGTTACGTATAATTTTATATATTCAAGGGGCCCTATGAAGTGCAGGGGCCCCTGAACCTGCCATGGTATCCATGCTCCTCCGACACCCCTGAAGAAGGATAAAGGGAATTGTTTGATATCTGAGATACTGAGACCTTTCCAATTCCTTTCTCGGGATGCCCCATACTATATAGTCACTAACTAATAGGGTATGATGCACCCTTCAAAATGGCCGTCTCTATCACAGCTTATACACTGTTACTTGTGTTTACCTAGCAAAGAATATTAGGACTGTCTTGCTGTCAGGTGTGGAGAGTGATGCACTTGGGTATACATGACTACAAATGTAGTTCTTCCCTAAAAATAATTGAGGTGCAAAACACAGGAGCCTGAAGGTTTAAACAGAAATAGAAAAAAATACCCCTTTGATACTGGAATCCGACCCTCAGTATCTCCTGCCCCCCCCTCCCATTCTCCGCACCTCGGCAGGGCTGCCGTTCAGCTGTCCCATTCTGATTCTCACGCTATGCTCATACACACACGTACACTCACCCCGACCATCTTCCCCGATCGCTCCAGGTTTTTCAAATACTTATTAGGACATGAAGGACATGAGAGCTAAAGCTTCTGTTGACATTATATTTAACCTATGTACTATGTCATTGTTTTAAGATGATGTGAGGGAGATATAGGGCTATCGAAGGAACAAACAGGCACATTTAGGTTCACTTCTAAAAGAGCTTTATTCTGGCAGGAGACCAACACGTGAGTTCCGAGAAACGCCAGGCGACGCTCGCTCTATCCCACGGCTGAGCTCCAACCAACACTGGATCCCCCCCTTCCTTTATACTAATTTTGGGCGCTGCGTGCGGGCAGGGGACGAGCTGGATAAGCTCACCCCTCCCCTCAGGTCATGCGTTCTCAAATTTCCAATTTTGTCCGAGTAAGCAGCCTGCAGTTTCAATCAGAAATGATAAGACAAGTTCCTATAATCAATGCGTCCCCCCCCTCCTAAGGATGGGGTGAGCGTCCTACACACACTGACCGCTAGGTGCGGTTTCAATCAAAAATAGTAATGAGCAGTGCTTTATCTTCTCTCTGAGGACAAGGCAGGTGTCTCATACACTGACCAGTGGTGTACAGAACATATTGAGCAACACCTTTCCCTGTCCTCAGCAAGCCCCTCCAAAACCAGGGGAAACATGGTAAGCGTCCTTGAATTGGGTAAGCATCCCAGAACAAGGATTTTTTCACATAAGATAAGGATACTCTGACAGTAAACATACCACATTGTACACATGACAAAAACACAGAGAAGGCAAGCAGATAAATAAAATTGCATAGACATGCAAAAGGGTAAAATTAAGGTACAACAGATATACTTGGTCTGTTGTTGTGCAGTCTAATTGCTTTTGGCACAAATGACTTATGATACCTTGTTCTGATTACTCTGCAGAATTCTGCCATTCGACCTATTACTTCTGACAAACTTCGAGAACAGAGGATGTGTAGGATCATCTAAAATTTGTTTAATCTTTTCCATAATAAACTCATTGTACAGCTGGGCTGCAGATGCCTAGTCAACTCCAATGACCCTACTGACTAATTTGATAAAATGCTGCAATTTCTTATGAACCTGTGCATGCATATTTCCAAAGGTACAAATTAACCCAAAGGACAGAACACTCTACAGAAGAGCTTTATAAAGTAATTGAAGAATGCCAATATCTAATCTAATCTCAGGAAAAAACATCCTCTGTTGCAATTTCCTGCACTTGTACTGTACACAATGATTACAACACAATTTATCGTCTATTTCAATTCCTAAATATTTGTAAGATGAGACCCGCTCAATCTGTTCCCCATTAATCTTGGACCGAGAAACCCTTATGCCTTTCTTACTAAAATCTATTAACATTTCTTTTGTTTTCTTTACATTAATCTGCAAAAAATGGTCTGTGCACCACTTAATGAAACCTTGAACCTCCCTTTCAAAGCCTTCTAGAGATGAGGTGTCCGAATGTAAAAAACCAACCAATGCAGTATCATCAGCATACTTAAGATACAGTAAGTATGAGCAGAAGAAGCTGCTTGGCAATCGTTTTTATATAATGTATAAAGGATGGGCGACAGCAAGCATCCCTGCGGTGCTCCAGTATTAATGGTTATAACGTATAAAGGATGGGCGACAGCGCGCATCCCTGCGGTGCTCCAGTATTAATGGTTATAACGTATAAAGGATGTGCGACAGCGCGCATCCCTGCGGTGCTCCAGTATTAATGGTTATAACGTATAAAGGATGTGCGACAGCACACATCCCTGCGGTGCTCCAGTATTAATGGTTTTTAGGGAGGAGACAGATTAATTAAATTTCACTTGCTGACAGCGGTCAGTCAAGAAGTTATAAATCCATAATATAAGTCTAGGATTTACCCCAAGATTTAACAATTTCCTCACCATCAGATGCGGTTGGATTGTATTAAGAGCGCTGCTAAAATCTATAAACACAACCTTAACCAGGCTCCTTGCATGTTCAAGGTGCTCATCGACATTATTTATCAAGGTAAGAAGCAAAAAAATTGGTTTGGTTCTAAAGAGTGGGAAAATTGGTTTGGGTCTAAAGAGTGGGAAACCTCAGAAAGAAGCTGTTTTAAAACAATTTTCTCAAAACATTTCATTACCATAGATGTAAGTGCTACTGGACGCAGGTCATTAAGTTCTTTAGGTCTATTGTTTTTTGGCACTGGCACTATTAATGATTTTTTCCATAAGCTGGGAACCACACCAGTGTCCAAGGACAGCTGGAACAGCCTCTGGAAGGGCTGTGCCAGCTCATCTGCACACGTTTAGTGTTCTACTGCTAATACCATCAGGCCCACTAGCTTTACGAGGATAAATACGTCTGAAAAATGATTTTACCTCATCAATAGAGATTTCAATACCTGCACCCACCATACCTCTTACCTCCATGTTAGCTAAACACTATTCTATTTTAAAATCATGTGTATCAAATCTATAATAAAAATTATTTAACTCATTAGCCATATCAAGCTCATTATCCACTGATTCTTAGGCTTGTACCCTGTAACTGCTTGTACCCCTTGCCATGCTCTTCTAGGATTATTTTTTAAAAAACCTTCAAGTTTACATTTGTATGCAACTTTACAGACCATAATCAGATTTTTAATCTTCCTCTGTACTGTTTTTTGTCTTCCGTATTTCCACCTGATTTAAACAGGGCGCTTTTTCACATATACACAAAATAAAATAGGAAAATGCCATTAGTGCACTTTGAGCACGTATCTGTGTCATTAACGAGTGTTGTGCATCCGCACATTTCTGAAACGCGCTGATTAAATAGCATAGTGCAGCAATAACTCGCGAGAGAACAAATTGAGCACACGAATTAGTAACTCAAGCACACTAATTACTAACTTGGGTGCATGAATTAGTAACTCAAGCGCACAGATTAGTAACTCAAGAGCACGGATAAATAACTTGCGGGCAGGATTAGTAACTCAAGCACATGAAATACTAATTTTAGCACACAAATTATTAACTGGAGAGCAGGGATTAGTAACTCGACAGCATGAATTATTATGAGATATTTTTTTCGACCATGACACCTAAACGGCTCCGTAACTCACTGCTTGTCATTGCACGAAATAGTTTCATGTTCAGCATTTATCTTTCTTAGGCTACATCTACTTCCCTGTCACAGTACAGATGGACCTGTGGCCTGTACTACGAAGCTGGATTACTGGTTTATTGCGGTAACTTGTCGGATTTAAGGTAGTCTGGGCAAAATGTAAGTGAACGGATATGAAGTCCATTCGAACTGTGGTACCTTAAATCTGACAAGTTACCCCGATAAGCCAGTAACCCCGTTTCGTAGTGCTGGCCACTGAAGAAGACGTTGGCAGAGTCAGACTGGCCCTCACCAAAACCAAAGGCCTTGTCCACACGTACATGGGTATTTTTAAAATGTAGCTTTTTCTATGTGTGTTTTGGTCTTTCATCCGCAGGCAAACAGCATTTTACATCACTGAAAACAGAGCTTTTGTAATTCTCCGTCCAGGGTGAAGATTTTCAGAAACTCTCTTTTCAGTGTCGACGTGTAGACGTCAGAGTGTGCACAGATATTTACTTTGTTTGACGACAGAATGTGCGCCGTTCGCTATTTACATTAGCTGTTTTAGCCTAGCAGAACTGATAATAAGGCTTTTGATTGGCCAACATGACTTTACAGTTAAAGTTATATCACCACCTGTTGGTTTGGCATGCTTTCGGCATCGCGTTTTAGAGTTTTCATGTTGCCGGAGATTTTTTTTTAATAACACAGGAGAAAAACACCCTTTTGAAAAATACCCATGTATGTGTGGACAAGGCCTAAGAAGGGGTTCACAAACTTCTGTTGCAGGTTCATCCATAACTTCAGCGTGGTTGCAGCTCCATTTGCAGCCTTAATCTGCAGTGCCCATAAACTCATCAACTGAAACAAGCATTCATACAGGCTCCCCGACCAACAACTGAACCCAGACCTACCTTTCAATGCAGGAATTGTCTCTGTGTGGAATAACTGGGCATACCATTGTCTCTTTTTCCAGGGTGCTTGTAACTCCTTCAGTGTTTGTGTGATTCTCGAACCCCTGCCTAACTCTCTGTGTGTGGGTGTCTCCACTTTTCCCCAACAACACCTGTGCCTGCTTCATGTACTTCCGAATCAGTCTCCCATCACTCAAACGATTTATGGTTGCCAATCCCAGAGGTCTGAGCCTTACAATAACACACATTTTTATTATTTTGCTTCATTCATCTTTATTGTATTTGCTTAGTAAAAGATATTACTGAGAGAAGCTGAGAATCATATTCTATTTGGAAAAATAAGACAGTAATATGATTCAGCAATTACACAGCACCCCCCAGAAGATCAGTATGAGTAATGATTATGCATTTTTCCATCTTTATTGTTTACTTATTAAAAAATTATTACTGACACCCAGAAAGTGTCATGCTCTACTTGAAAAATGAGACAGTGAAATGATTAGAAAATTACACAGCACTCCCTAGAAGACCATCATAAGTAATGATTATGCATTTATTGTGTTTGCTTATTAAAAGATATTACTGATATCAGAAGTGAAGAATCGTATGAATTATATTCTACTTCTAAAATAAGACAGTTAAAAGATTCAGTAATCACACGGCACCCCTTAGAGGATCATTATGAGCAATGAGAGAACAATCACAAGTGACACCTGCAGCATCTCCCTGGTCCCTGGGCTTCCTGAACCAGCGTTCTCTTGCACCATCTTCCATGCCTCCTCTGAGCTGACTTTTTTCCAAATCTGTTTTTCTCCTGCTTTAACCCAGAAATGACCATCATCTTCCACAATAGAGACTGTATTCATTTGTGTTTCATTCTGGGCCAACACCGGTCGGCTGGTGTAAGGGGGAAGCTGAATTGGTGCCAGGTCTCTGCTTGAGAAGGCCCCAGGGCTGCTACAAAACAGTACCTTACACCCATCACTGACCCCAGCAGAATACTGGCTAAACCCAGCAGGACACTGAGAGAGGCCTTTCATCAAAGGATTGCCTGCTTCACAGCTGAACAGGCCTCCAAATGGTAAAGAGTAACGTGAACTCATCTTATTGTAATCGCCCAGGCAGATCTTCAGTCCATCAGAGAGAAACAAGGCTGGATAGAAGGTGTCAGGGCAGCTCCTGGTCTTGGTCACCGGGTTTATCAGGTTGGGCCCAAAGAGACCGCCGAAAAGGAAACCAGAGGAACCAGTTTGGTTGAGGCCAGCTGTAGCGCACCAGTAGGTCTGGACAGTCACTCTGTGTATAGTATAGACATTAGCACAAGCAGAACGACACCAAATCCCCCAATACCAATACCATGCGCAAAAACTCTGACATTGATACTGACTGGAACTCTGCTCCCTGACCTCTGACCTCAGAAGGATCGGGTTATAGGGAGCCTTGCATGACAAACCCCCTGTCAGGGGGTTGTCCTGAATCAGGCTCTGACAGAGAATCATGGTTTCTGTGTCCCGAGTAATAGGGGTACATTGCTGGAAGACCCCACCCAGGCTGAAATTTCCAGCTGTACCCTTGCAGGAGTTATCATCCACATTGGCCTTGTAGTTGTAGTTGTCTGAGCCTGGCTCAGTGCAACCAGGGTGGGTATTGATGGTGTAGTAACTCTGGAAGGCTTGGTACACAGCATTACTAAGCTGCAGTATAGTGTACTGTGGAAGGTCGGGAAGAGTGTCCTTATTGAGAATGAAGTAGAGTGGGACTCCGGAGCGGTCAATAGCTACTAGGTTGTTAGGGATGCTATCCTCCCATACTTTCAGAGTGACGCCTGGGTAGAAAGGCATGCCACCATGGCTGATCATCAGGGAGTAGGTGGTGTTGCCAGTGTAGCTGCCTAGAAGAAGGTCTTTGTGAGTATTACTCAAGCCAAAGTTCACTTTTGAGAGGAAGGATGCACTAGCTGTTGCTGTGAGGGAACCCTGCTCAGTGTTTGCCACATAGCAGGTTTGGAGATAGTCTTCCTGTACCAAAGTGGCACCCGCATCAACCGAAGTGAGGACATGGGTACCATAGTCTAGAATCAGGGTCTCGGAGAGGAAGTTAGCCAAATGCGTATTATTGTTCTCAAGGGCGTTGGCAATGTCAAACACATGACTTCTGAAGACAGGGTCCAGAGTGAAGCTGGGATGGTTTTTCACAGTGTAGATGAGGTTGCGTACCTGTTGGAGATAACATTCTCTTGTAGGTGGTGAACGAATTACAATTAAATAACAATAACAATTACAGTAAAATATTCCCAGTGCTTCATTCATACCATTGATGTGTTACATCTAAATTAATCATTGTAATACACTAAATAATGTAAGTGCTACACAAAATTGATTGCATTCAGAGATGGCTCTTACACATTAGTCACACCTTTCCTACCATGAACAGGATACTAACCAGCACAGCAACACACTCAAAATCATATCTGGCTTTACCGGCTTGCACTTTCACCATTACTCAAGGTCAAGTAAATATTTAGTTTTTCTGTACTTCGGTATGTCTAAACATAATATATATTCTTGCAAAGATTGAATCGGTGAAAGTTGTGCCGTGAAGGCAGAATATGGTGTAAACGTATTTAAAGTATTTAAATACTTTTCCAATTATCATTCAAATATTTTCCTAGAAAGACAGTAATGGTAACACTGAACAATTAAAGTGTCATGTTTTAAGAATGCATTCTGGACCCTCTGTGCTACTATATGTGTATGATGTTGCATTACTGGCCATCTCACCTGTATCCTACTGGTGACAGAATTGTCATTCACTTGGTGCTCTTTCAGCCTCTCGTCCTCCACTGAAAATTTGCCGTTGAGAATTGAAAATCCAGAAGTGTCCATGTTTATAGTATATGCTGTGGAGCTCTTGTAGTCTTGCCAACTGTCCAGAATGTCAGAGTTGATCTCCACCTCGCTGGACTTCAGTGACACTGTGAACACCTGGTCAGGCAGGAGATAGGCTCCATCATCTGTGGTCTGGCACTGGGAGTAGTCCATCTTTATCACCTGACCGGCATCAGTGTTGCGCAGGTTGTCCCAGCCACCACCTGGCAGAACCTCCAGAACCGGCAAGTTGAAGGTTTTCTTGCATTCATTGAGGTGACTGCTGGATTTGGCGTAGAAGCCAGGGACCCACAATGGCAGTAGAACCCAGAGAACTGGAACATAAAGCGCCATTAATCAGTTTGACTTTCAAACTAAATTAAAGTACGCTTTAATATGGAAACAACTTATTAATGTGAAACCACAAGGAGACACACAACAAAGCCACACAAGGCAAAAGGAAACATTGTGCTTGTCAAGAAAACATCCCAATTTATACCTATCACAAGGAATGAGGAACAAGGGGGCATCTTCCTCAAACACTACAAGTCCTTCAACTTTCTGAGGGAACCTTCCTATAGACTCTGTACCCCCCATTTTGGCAGAAAGTCCCAGGACAGGCAAACCAGTTCAGTCAGACTCCAGAAAAGCTACTTCCTCATTTCCTTTGAGCTGCTCTTTGTCTTTTAAATATTCTCTGTATGTTTTACATGTTGTTGCACTTCTGCAGTCTTGTGTAGCCAACCTTGTTGTCTCCTGATTTAATGTAACCCTATTCATTCTGTATTTTGCTCTGTGGACCTGAGGGAATACTGTTCTCATGCGACTGTGTACCCCTATCGGATGGGGTGACAGTGAAGCCCCCACTGACTTGTCATGACTTCACTACACCAGCCTGGTCACCTGACCCTGGTCACCTGACCCTCCCTCTCCGACACTCTCACACTGCCTCATACAGTGGATATAGAGTGTACACAACCCTGTTAAAATGCCAAGTTTTTATGATGTAAAAAATGAGACCATGATAAATCATTTAAAAGTTTTCCTACCTATAATGTGACCTATAACTTCTACAATTCGATTGAAAAACAAATGAATCTGCTAGGGGGGGAAGATATAAAAAATAAAAGATGTACAATAATCTGGTTGCATAAGTGTGCTCACCCTTAAACTAATACTTTGTTGAAGCACCTTTTGATTTAATCACAGCACTCAGTATTTTTGGATACACACCTGCCATCAATTAAGATGACTCCAATTAAACCCAAATAAAGTTCAGCTGTCGTAGTAGGATTTTCCTGACATTTACTCAGTTGCATCCTACAGCAAAAGCCATGGTTCACAGAGAGCTTACAAAGGATGAAAGGCATCTCATTGTTCAAAGGTATCAGTCATGACAAGGGTACAAATTTTTTTAACAGCATTCGATATACCATGGAACACAGTGACAGCCATCAAGAAGTGGAGAAAATATGGGACAACTGTGATGTTATTGAGACCTGGACATCGGAAAGATTCACACAACGCTTTTTATTGAATTTATTTAATTCTGTTTATTTACTAAAATCTCAGCTGGATAAAACTTTTGTTTAAAAAGAAAGTTGGTGTAATACAGTCATTTTCATTATTATCTGTGATCTAACACAGTACAGAATGTGCTGATATAGTCTTGGTTAGTTCATCTCCAGACCTGTAGATGGCGCTACAAGAGTGGTGGGATTGGGCGACGGGCAATGGCTAGACGCAGAATAAAATACGCTGAAAGCCATTTGCCACGAAAACTGAAATGTCACCTTGTTTCCCATCACAGGCGTGAGACAATAACTATTAACGCTACAGTGCCACACTCACGCACGGACGTGGTGGTTACAGAGAGAACCCTGTGATATTAACGCTATATGTAACCACCACGT